ACTTTTGTGTCTCTGGGTCACATTTTGGTAATTCTCACAATATTTCAGAATTTTTCATTACTGTTATACTTGTTGTGATTTGTGATCAGTACAAATTGTCAGTTACAGCCCTAGCTGGTTTGGCTCAGTGGATAGAGTGTCAGCCTGTGGACTGAAGGGTCCCAGGTTTGATTCTGGTCAAGGGCACATGCCCGGTTGCAGGCTCAATCCCCAGTAGGAGGTAGCCGATCAATGATTCTCTCTTACTGATGTTTCTATCTCTCTCTCCCTCTCCCTTCCTCTTGGAAATCAATTAAAAAATATTTTAAAAAATGGTCAGTTATAAAATAGTAACAAGGTATAGTCAATATTGTAATAACTATGTATGGTGACAGGTGGGTACCAGACTTATGAGGGAAATCACTTTGTAAATTGTAAGTCTGAGTACTATGCTGTACACCTGAAACTAATATAATATTGAATGTCCACTGTAATTATAAAACAGAAACAAACTTGATGTGATAGTGTTCTATTTCTGCCCCTAACAAAAGGAATTGGTTTATCTGAACTGGCCAGTCTGGAGGCCTCTGGGCTCCTACTCTGAAAGACCCAACTCCTCGAGGACATAGGTTACAGATTATGTAGGGCAAAGTCACAAGGCACCAAGGGCTAGCGGTTAGGGGGTTCAGGGTCATAGTAGGAGCTGATTGGTCAGAGGCGAGATAAGGGTAATAAATCATTCCTTCAGGTCTTGAGGACAACTCCCAGGTCAGCTGGGTGTCCAGAACTACTTTCAAAAACAAGCAACCAAGAGGGTTTTCCTGCCTTAGGGCTCAGGAGCTGTTATCTTTAGCCTGCCAGGGGATTAAACCTTGGGGTGATCATTACTCAGAACTGGGCTATTGTCTTCTGCTGTCTCAGGAGTCAAGGATCATCAGGGCAGTGAAGTTAGCTGAGAGAGAGAAGAAAAATATGATGGCTTTAAAACTACAGTTTAAATCAAATCAGAATTATACAGCTCCTCAGTGATGTGGCCTTAGCCTAATTTGAATTAAGTATGGTAAACAGAGGGCTTCAGGCAGATACCCCTTAAGTCCCACTCTTTCTGATTTGCCTAGCAAGAATTTGCCTGCCAGGTATGTTCCCCTCCTCCCCAACTACCTGTAAATCCTCCATTTTTCTGAAATCTAATATTCCCTTCCATCCCCTTTCTCCTTTGTCCAAAATGTCTTATATACCCAGTGTTGCCTCACTGTCTTTGGAATTTTCATACCTCAGAAATTACCCATGCACATATATTAAAATGTTTTCTTCTGTAAAAACAATAAAATAAAATAAAAATTGGCTGGTATGCTCAGTGGTTGAGCATCAACCTATGAACCAAGAGTCATGGTTCGATTCCTAGTCAGGGGACCTGCTTGGGTTTTGGTCTCTATCCCCAGTGTGGGGCATGCAGGAGGAAGCTGATCAATGATTCTCTCTCATTATTGGTGTTTCCATCTCTCTCTCTCTCTCTCTCTCTCTCTCTCTCCCTCTCTCCCTCCCTCCCTCTCTCCCTCTCCCCCTCTCCTTTCCTTTCTGAAATCAATAAAAATACATTTAAAAAAAGAAATCTGTCTTTCATTTTAATGCTGCCTAATGTAGACTATAGTATTGTAAAAAATAATGTAAATGGAGCCATTTCAAAATGGAGTTGTAGCTGTCATCCCAGAGGAACTGCCTTGCCTGTATGTCTTAGTCCTCAAATCTTTGGAATGTTAAAACTGGGCAAAACAATATTTAATCTGAGCCTAAAGCAACATTGTGTTCCACAGAACTATTTGCAAAGATAACAAGAGAGCAGTTATTATGACTACTGTACTGAAAATTAAAGACATTTTTAAGAATCAGCATCATTCTATTAGCTTATCTGTATCTACAGAAATTCCTTCCTTAGCTTATTAGCACCCTTGATTCTATTCATGTAATTATTCCCCTTTTCTGTCTCATAAATACCCCTTGCCTTCACCTCCTAATTGGAAGACTTTGGGTTTCTGTCTGAATCACTGCTTCCGGAATAGCTGTTGTTTTGATCCTCAAGTAAATACTTGTTGTCTCTCATTTTGCTAATTTATTTTTAGGTTAACAGTTTTGGAAGGTTTTACAAATGTAAAATATTAATGGATTTTCCCAGATCGATGTCCAGAATGCCACTTTACACGTCCATCAACAGTACCGAAGAGTGCTCTTTGCCCTGCCCCCTTATCTGCTCTTGACATTTTCAGACTTTAAGAATTTTGCCAATCTTTTGGAAGAAAGTCATTTTTACTATACATTTCCTTGATAATTTGGTGAGATTGAATGGTTTTTCATATTTTTATTAGTATTTTGTTTCTTAATATAATATCTGCATTTTCCCCCCCAAAATAACAAAATATTATTTAAAGATAGTATATATCTTATATTCTTGTTTTTCTTTGCATATCTGTGGTCAGGTTGCTGGGATGAGTCAATTTTCAATTCCCATCTCTATGGACAATAATCATTACTATTTACAACAATTTATTGAGCAATAAAACTGACCAAAGGCAGTGAAAAGCTAGAACTACTAACAAATCAGACTACTCAGTAGGGTATGCCAGACAACACACCTTGCATTCCATAGTGAAACCCAAAATATGTCCAAAATGTGGTTGGGTCTGAGTTCTTTGTCTCGTAAAACTGAAGAATGGATTCAGGGACAAAAATGGTGGGAAGAAAACAGAATTTATTGGCGGGGGATGGGGGAACAAAGCTTTCGGGAGGAGATATGTGGACTTCCTGCAAGACAGCAGGAAGTGGGCCCCAAATGGGTTACCCATTTAAGCTATTTGTTTAGGGCAGTGATGGCGAACCTTTTGAGCTCGTTGTGTCAGCATTTGGAAGAACCCTAACTTAACTCTGGTGCTGTGTCACATACAGAAATTTTTTGATCTTTGCAACGATAGTAAAACAAAGACTTATATTTTTGATATTTATTTTATATATTTAAATGCCATTTAACAAAGAAAAATCAACCAAAAAATTGAGTTTGCGTGTCACCTCTGACACGTGTGTCATAGGTTCGCCATCACTGGTTTAGGGGATGTTTATATACTCTGTTAGCTTCTGATTGGTCCCGTTAAGGCAGCGGTTCGCAGCCTGTGGGTCGGGACCCCTTTGGGGGTCAAACAACCCTTTCACAGGGGTCACCTAAGACCATCAGAAAACACATATATAATTACATATTGTTTTTGTGATTAATCACTATGCTTTAATTATGTTCAATTTGTAACAATGAAAATACATCCTGCATATCAGATATTTACATTATGATTCATAACAGTAGCAAAATTACAGTTATGAAGTAGCAACGAAAATAATTTTATGGTTGGGGGTCGCCACATGAGGGAACTGTATTAAAGGTTCGCGGCATTAGGAAGGTTGAGAACCACTGCTTTAAGGAATTCTGGCAATATCCAATTATATCAAAGTTCAAGTTCCCACCTGTGGGAGGACCGGATTAAGGACTGCCACTTCAGGTCCCAGGTGACATCACTGTTCCCACCTGGCCAGGTCAAGGGTCAAGTTTTCCCAGCCCAGTGCGTTTTGCCTCCATGTCTGACTTCCTTTCCTCCTATTTCCATGTGGTCCCTGTCTGCGTACCTAGTCCTCTTTTTCATTAGAACACCCAGCAGTCTTTCCCTTTTTCCCTGATGGATCCACATTTAAAACTTCTTGCACATTGTGTGGCTCATATGAGAACTCAATACATTTAATTTGCTTCTCTCTATTGAAAGAATGAAAAACAAGGAATTGAAATTTTACGGTGTTTCTGCAGAACTACAGCTTCCTGAATAGGGGCTGTACCAGGTAGATTCACCTTTGTTTTCCTTGGGCCTGGCACAGTGCTTGGGAGGATTTTTAATGGCTGTTCAGTAATTGTTTGGTTGAATGGAATTGTGTTCAAATATGTTCTAACTCATTCTTTTATCTGGATAAACATATATATCAGGAGAAAATACGCTTATTTTGCTTACATTGTTATTTACCATATTTTCAGACAGGGATTAGAAAATATATTCTAAGCATGTAAACTGGTAGCCTTGCAAATGGCTGTTTGCTTTAGTAGTTGAGATTGTGTGAGTATAGTTAAATGAAAATCCCACCCCTTAATAATAGCAAAATAGTGATTTTGTTGTGTGCAGTCTTAAGGCGAGATTATGCTGTTTTCACTGTGGATGGTGATTTTTACCCATGATAGAGCAGGCTAGCATATTCACATATGTTACAGCTAGAATAATACATTGCTTTAAAAACCTTTTTTTTATCTGTTTTTTAGATTCATTGTTTGACAAAAATTTATTCTTAAGTAACTGAAAAACACACACACCGCAGTGGATACTGTGGATTGTAAAATGAAGGAGAAGCTTAGCTTTACTGTGGAGTCTGAGTCTGGGTGTAACCTAACTAGCTAGACGATATGCAATTCTTGATTGACAGCAGGACCAGCATTATGCAGATTTTGTAAGAGAGAATAGCAGCTCAGAAACCGTGGGCCTTGCTCAGTTAGGAATCACTACATTCACCACTCATGCTAGTTTTTATTTTTCTGTCTACTGGATTTGTAAACAAATAGGACAAAACAGTTCCTCTTTTGTTTTTATTAAAGTGATACTGCAGTGCAGTTTCAGTATCAGCTAAGCATACATATGTGGAAATCTGATATTCTCACCAAATTAGCTAATTTTTAGCTGTGTTCCATGCTTATCTCTAGACCGTTGTTTATTAAATCCTATCTTGAGCTGCTCTCTTTATACACAAGTGTGTTTTGCCTGTGCCTTCCTGCCTGTTTCAGTGAGAAGCTTTATGTAGGTCAGGCTTGGCTTAAGCAGATTTCCTGAACCTGCGTCAGCTTAAGCTGGAGGAATTTTAATAAACCCTCCCCTGTAGGCGTGGGCCTAAATGAGGCTAGCCTAGTTAAGCCTGATCTTTTTCCGTTTGTGAAAAGAGCTGAGCAGAGCTGAAGGCTGCATGGTGGTTTCAGAAACTGCTTCCTTAATTTGAGACAAGAACAATGGTAGGAAAGGCTAGATCTTCCAATTTTACCTTATCTGAAAAGCTTGATTTGCTAAAACTTGTGAAGCCATATGTGAAAATCCTCGAAGAACACACTAATAAGCATTCAGTGATAGTGGAAAAGAATAGATGTTGGGATATCATAGCAGTTAACTATAATGCAATTGGAGTAGACCGCCCTCCTCGAACAGCGCAGGGCCTGCGCACCCTTTACAAAAGGCTCAAAGAATATGCCAAACAGGAGCTATTGCAGCAAAAAGATACCCAATCAGATTTAAAAAGCAGTATTTCTGAGCCAACCAAGAAAGTTATGGAGATGATTCCCCAGATTTCCAGTCTTTGCCTGGTAAGAGACAGGAACCACATACAAAGGTAAGCTTTATTTTATTTTGTTGTGGAAAATTATGGCGCCTCCTATCTATTGGGCTCTGGCTTAGTTGTGACAGAGATATGCATAGTAAGCATCCCCACACGGGAGCAATGAATAGTGTCTTTGTTTTGCGTTCTAAAAAAAGAAAAGTGAGGCTATAAGGAATTTTCCTGCTGCATTTCATTTAAGTCACTTTTATTGTCTTCCCTTCCCCCTTCCCTCCTTCTGTAGTTTCTAAAAAGTAAAGATTAGGGAGGAATAATTGGGATGAAATTTGTGACATCTGTTCATAAACTTTTTAAGCTTTAAAATTAAATTATGTAATTAGCTGAGAGAGAGACCTTTTAAGATTTCATTTAAGGTTACATTTCATTGGAATTTTCAGTTTCATAGAAAGTTAGTTGCAGGAGAAATGGAACCCTTGCTTGTATGTGAAATTGTCACTGTCTCCACTTATTGAATATTCTTTGAGCTAAAAAACTAAAATCAATAATTAAGTAAACTTATTAATGGTATTATTGCATATGTTAAGACAGTTTAAGTTATTTTTATAACATTTAAAATAAACACGAGGAAAGGAATTAATGCCTAATTAGGGATTCAGGTTACTTAATAAAATCTAAAGTTTTTGTGTATTAATGGTATAGTTTCACATTGATCGTGGGTCACATAGGAAAGGACAAGTTTTCACAAATTGCTTTGCAAGGATATCAAACTGCATTTTAATATACCAATAAGAGCAACTGGTTTCATAAAGTGTTAGAAACATTTTGTTGTTTTTAAATTTATGCTCTACATAACTACTTGCCTTGGAATCTTAAAAACTATTACCTTACTACTGATTCAAATTTTAACCCCTGGGAAAAGATAAAAATGGTAGCTACATTTTTCTGAGCCATTTAGGGTAATTTAAACAAGTTGTAAACTTCTTGTTAGTTGAGAGACCTTTCAAATAAAGCTTTACAATGTGCTTTTCTATTAGTGGGAGAGTCATTATATAAGCACATTTATTGATTACCTATGAAATCTTTTTGAAGTTAGGAGAGAAACAGGGAAAAGAACCTTTTAACCAAACATATTTGTTACTTTGATAATTTACTGGGATCATTTTTTGAGCCAAGCTTCTTACCATCTACTGCTTATTTCTAGTTGATAGCATAGTAAAAAAAATACCACTAGTGGGAATCCAGGACATGGATACACAATGTATTAAATTATGAGGCCACTGCTTAAAATGTTCACTGAGATGACAAATGATTAAATCCTCACATGCTGGATGTCAGAAACCTCCACAGTAAGACTGTTTTATACTGTGTTAGTTATTACTTTTTCTCCTCAAACCATAAGAAAAGTTGCTTCTGCGTTACAGGTATAAAACCATCTTTTGGGTATTAAGTATAGACTTTTGTAATTTGAAAACTACACATGGGAACTATAGTTTCAGTTAGTTCCATATTTTAAAAACTGAGTATAGAAGAGAAATAAGATAAAAGTATCTTTATATTTTGACCATTTGCATGTGTATGTATGTAACATACAATCTTTTGGGACATTTCTCTGATAAAAATAATTAATTGATTCATGTATTTTTATACCTACTATTTAAACGATAACAATTTTTCATATTTTAAAGTGAAGAATATTAGAAATAAGCCATTTTAATGCTTGCTTATGTTAGTGTCTACACTGTCATTTTTCATATTAGTGTTTTCATGTAATATATTGATATATTTAATGTGCTTATACTTATTTGACATCGTCTTGAATCTTGATAATTATCTCACAAGTTTATAATTATTCTATAATTTTAATTATGCTTCTGTATAAACATGCCTGCTAATCTTACCAGTCTCTCCATTCTTAGTAAGGAAAATCTTACTGTTTATATTATTTAATATATTTTAAAAATATACACATATTTGGTTAGGCTATCTCTGTAACACATTGATTTATGTCTTTATTTTTACTTCTCTCGAATATCAAATTGTATTTTGTGTTTTTGTAACACAATTGATTCTTACAATCCATATTTCTAAATTTTAGAAACCCTTCTGTTTATCATTTTTGTGACTTTCTCTAAAACATTTTTTATATGATGACCTTACTTATAATGTTTCCACTAAAATGGAATAGAATATTCCAGATATAAGGCATATTTTTAATTTACATGAGAGTATAATGTATATGTCTAATTGTATTATACTCTATTATTGTACATATTAATTTGGAATAGTTATTGTGTAAATTTTTTAAATTTAACCTGAAGTTTTAATATTTATCCATTATAGGTTTTAGAGATGTTAATCAAAGTAAATCTTACCAATTTGATTTACATTTATATTCTATCATTTTGCTTTCAAAAATCATAAGATGATAGCCCAACCAGTTTGGCTCAGTGGTTGAGCATTAACCCACAAACCAGGAGGTAACAGTTCAATTCCTGGTCAGGGTACATGCTGGGGTTGCGAGCTTGGTCCCCAGTGAGTGCGTGCAGAAGGCAGCCAATCGATGATTCTCTCTCATCATTGATGTTTCTCTCTCTCTCTCTCTCCTTCTCTCTCTTCCTCTCTGAAATCAATACAAATATTTTTTAACATAAAATAAAATTATAAGATGACAAAAGAAGTTATGAAAATGGATGAATTTATATAATCTACAAATAGGTTTTTTATAGCATACTATATATTTCATTTGTATCCCTTAGACAAACATCTGATATTATTGACAATTTAATGCCATTAGTAAGTGACATAGGGGGATTTTAATTTTTTTTCTAAGTTCTACTTAAACTATGCTACTTATCATTTGTGAAATGCTCTGTAAGTAACGTTAATATAGCACTTCCATTAATATTCTAATAATCTCTTTCCCTTTCTAATTTTTATTTTTAAGTAAGGCAGAAGCAAAAATTTAAAAATACCCCTCAAGAAACAGGATTATATATTCTTAACAGCTTCATGGTATAACTGAAATAATTTTTTTAAAAACAGAACTTTAAGGTACATTATATTTACATAATACAATATTAATAAACTCTGCTAAAACTGTGGATGCCTGTACAGTTTTATGGAAATAACATGTAAATTTAATGAACTTTCAATGTATTGTATACAGCCTATTTAAAAACATTACACTAACATAACTGTTTTATCTATATTTAATCATGCCACATATGATGAGCACCTACCAGGTTTCAAGTATAGTCTTATGCTAGGTGCTGGGGATGTAGTGGTCAATATAAACCCTTGGCCGGTTAACTTTACCAATGGTTGAGAGACTGAGAGAACAACTGAGTCATGTGGTTTAGAATAGGTAAGATTAAACACCATTGCACCTGAAATTAGATAGTTAGGATAACCCTGATGGCATCTGAAGCCATACACAATCTTAATTTTTTTCTTTCTTTTGACAAATGCAGAAAACATTGCTTCTCATAGATGCCCTTCCAGTATCCTCCTAGAAGTCTTGGAACTTGGTGATTTTTAGATCAGTCCAGGAGAGCAGAAGCAGATCAAGGGCAAAGGGATAGGGACAGCAAGGCCCAGAATACAATTAAAGAACGTCAGGCTTGTAGGAGCAATTGGTGTCTCTTTGAAACCATTAAAAATGGCTTTTCTTTTTTATTTACCTCATTGTCATTTGTGTCGTACTTATAATTTCATGTTCTTTTAAGAGCCATATTTTAAAGTTAAGGATGGGAAATAACATATATGTATATGTTATTAAAATCCTAAATTTAGTCACTCACTTTCAATTTGTTATTCTAAGGGTTAAATTTTTTTGTTTCATAATTTTCTGTATAGCTTTAAAGCTTAATAATGTAATGTACATTAAACATGAAATTATGGTGTAAATATACTCTTGTCTTCATTTGATTTACATTTTATAATGCTTTTTTGTGTGCTATAGTGCAAACTTGGCTGAGGAGGCACAGGCTGGTACCAGTTCACTACAGGTAATGTTGGATCAGCATCCAGTTGCTATTACAGTGGAGGTGAAGCAAGAAGAAGACATTAAGCCCCCTCCTCCACTGGTTTTAAATTCGGAACAGAGTTATACTTTAGAGCAAAGAGAAGAACATGAATTAGTACATGTTATGGACAGATCTGTGTCGCCGTCACTTTCCTCTGTTGACATGAGAATGACATCATCTCCATCTTCCATCCCAAGGAGAGATGACTTTTTTCATCATGAGTGTGGGGGACACTTTAGGTCACAATTAGGGTATGATCCTCAGATTCTGCAAATGCTGAAAGAGGAGCATCAGATAATTTTAGAAAATCAAAAAAATTTTGGATTATATGTTCAGGAGAAGAGGGATGGATTGAAAAGAAGGCAGCAGCTAGAAGAAGAGCTGCTACAAGCAAAAATTGAAGTGGAGAAGCTGAAAGCAATTCGCTTACGGCATGATCTGCCTGAATATAATAGTTTCTAAATATTTTTCAGTTTCACAATATGATAATTTTAATTTTGGCCAAGTTACTTTATCTTGGGAATGTCTTAAAGCAGAATATGTATTATAATGTATCGTTAATCTCTATTATGAAAACAACTTTTGACATTTTTTAAATAATTTAATTATCTTTTGATATATATTATAATTTTTTGATTGTATGGCATGGTTTTATTTTTTTGTCTCCTCTGTTTTTTTTTTCTAATAAGTTTAATTGTTGACTTACAAAAGATGTTATATTTTGATCATTAAAATATAACACACATAATTATATACACAAACACATAAGTAGTCTTTCAAAGCTCTATCTTCAACATTTTAAACCAGAGCTTTGAAAAGCTGTAGTTCAAGGTTTTTAATTCAGTCTAATTTAGAACCAATACTAGCCCAATAACAGGAAGCTTGTGTTTATGACATTGATTTTTATGCTTTCATTTTTTGAAGGAGTAAGTCCTATGACTTTAGTGATGGAAAGTATTTGGAGATCACTTTTTACCCCCTTTTCAATTTAGAAGCTAATAAAACAGGTCCAGAAAGAACTCAATGACTTACTTGATATAACAAAGCTATTTATGGCAGAGCAAGGACCAGCACTGCGTTTTTGTTTGTAATTTCCCCCCCTACTATTCCATAGAAATAAAGATTCATTAAAGCTAACCTCCATATTAAAAAAATTGGAGGTGCTTATTTTATTAAAATAGTTTTTAAAGATTGGGAGGTTATGAAATCAGGGGAATTGTATCAATTATCCCCATCCCCCACCCACCTTTTTTTTTTTTTTTGCCAGAAAAATAAGATAATCTCTTGGAGTTATTATATATCTTGGCTGTAAGATTTAATGTTTTAATTCACTTTTAACGTCTTATTCTGGAAAAGATTTCACAGTAAAAATTTTAATGAACAAAATTAAAATTTTACATAGATTAGAAGTAGCAAAAGTATGTTTATAGTTTATGATATAATCTGTAATGTTTTTTTTTTGGTTGTTTTTTTTTTAATATAGTTTATTGATTTTTTACAGAGAGGAAGGGAGAGGGATAGAGAGTTAGAAACATCGATCAGCTGCCTCCTGCACACCCCCTACTGGGGATGTGCCCGCAACCCAGGTACATGCCCTTGACCGGAATCGAACCTGGGACCTTTCAGTCCGCAGGCTGACGCTCTATCCACTGAGCCAAACCGGTGCTGGATGTAATGTTTTTTTTAAATATTGCTATTTTAGTATTTGTGGAAATAAAACTTTCATTCTTAAAGCACACATATTAAATTTAAGTTAAATCTTTAGTATGTATATTACTTACCGATTTCTATTTTTGCTAGAGCTTTGTTGAGGAAGGATTTTTAAGCCAAGCTTTAGAATGGGTAGGCAGAATTTTAGCAGTACAGTGGGGAAAGGACATTTAAGTCAAAGTGAGCAGCATGAAAAAAGGCCTAGAGAATGGGGAGAAGTGGATCATCGTGTACAAGCACAAATACAGTACTAAACCAGATGATTGTACATGAGTGTAGAGGGCCCATTAAGATAGTGGTCATCTTAAGACATCTTCCTTGACTGTAGCTACTGTTCAGTTCCGGGAGACTTTTTACACGCACAATAAGCCAGAGATCCGCATTTTATGTGAAAAATTTTCCAATTTTAAAATGTTGCAAATAATTTAAAATGTTTAAAACACTACACTGACAAAACATGTGAGTGGATGTCATTCAGCCTGTGGGCTTCCTTTGTGGCCTTAGGAGTAGAGCAGTGGTTCACCAAGAGTAGATCCTGACCAGTAGCATCAGCATCACTTGAGAGCTTGTGAGAAATGTAAATTCATGCCTTTTGAATTAGAAACTTTGGAGGTGGAGTCCAGCAATATTTTCACAAACCCTCAGTTTGAGAACCACCAGACAATATTTTGGAACTTAGCTTGGTGCCTAAATCATATTAGATTCTCAAAAAATTTTGTTGAAAAGAGGAGTAAAAGTGAGTTAAGGGATATCAGTTTGTAAGGTGGTTGGTGCCAGATTATAGATTACATTAAAAACTATTTTTAGCCCTGGCCTGGTAGCTCAGTTGGTTTGAGGGTCCTCCTAATAAGCCTAGGTTGCAGGTTCGATCCCCGGTCAGGGTACATACAAGAATCAACCAATGAATGCATAAATAAGTATAACAAATTGATGTTTTTTTCTCTTTCCCCCTTCCTTTCTCTCTCTCTCAAATTAATAAATAAAAAGTAAACTTTTTAAGGAATCAGACATGAATGTAAAATGGGAAGCCATTGAAGGCTTTTGATTAGGGGGATATATATTAGAGTTCTAAGTTAGTGTTATAATAGCATCTTGTAGTGAGAGTAAAGGAAGTCTGAAATTTAGGTTATGGCTATAGAAATAGAAATAATAAAATAAAGTGGACAGTTAGGATATTATTTTAGCTTGTTGATTGCTTAATTTCATCGACATTTTATATCTGCTATTAGATTTAAATATTTTATACAAATGCCTTGAATATATAATATGATATATCATTTTGACAATTTCATCATCTTTAATCTGTACTATGACTTCTTTGAGTCTAATAAATTTTATAATTGTAATTTGAGGTAATGTTTTTACAATATAATTCTAGTAAATGCATTCTTATAATAGTTTAACTTTTTGAGATTATTGAAAGCAAATTACTGTATATAAAGTAATTCATATTACAGTCTCAGCATGTACTACTCAGAACTGATGTTTAATTTGAATATTTACTCTGTGCAGCTAAATCAGAGTTTTCCAAAATATGTCCTGTGAGAATAATTCTGTGAGTTGTTTCTAGGAAAGAGTTTTGTGTTAAACAAAAGTACAACATGCATCTTTTTTGTGTAATTAGGTTCTAAAATTAGTGTTGAAGGTAAACATGTGTATACAAAATTGCCCTTGGAAGTTCTTTTGCTGCCCATAAGTTGTAAACATAGTCTGCTACTGTCAGATTTTCTCCAGTATTGGTCAAGATTGTTGTTGCCGTCCTGTATCTTTTCCTACCCACATGAACTTAAATGGTACATTGTAGGTTTTTTATTTTATTTTATTTTTTTTATAATTCTTTTTTTCTCCTTTATTTTCCAATGGGGGTACATTGTTATTTTTACAACTTATGATTTTCTAAATGAGGTATTTATAATGACATCCTGAAAGGTAATGAAGCTCTTTCATTTCTAAAGATATTAGCAGATTTCTTAAAATATTCAAATCAAGTATTTTTATGTATAATAATGAGACATCAACTTGGAGTTACTTCATTTTTGAAAGATTCACTCTATCCTTTGCATTTTTACTTACATAAAAATGTTTAAAATGTTTCCATGTGCCTTCTTTTAGAGTAATGTCAAATTTAAATAGACATGTTTAAATCATTTAGAGTGTGATAAAATGTATTTAATATATATTGTTGATGATCATGGTTAAATGTTTTAATTCATGTTCTTTTAAATACAAGGTAATACATTATACTGATTTGTGTGCTCGTTTTGTGTCATAAGACAAAGAATTCAGTACTGTTGAGGTAAAATTTTATGATGAGGCATAATTGAAATAAATTTACCTACAGGATTGTGTTATAGTAGATATCAAATGTACCATGTCTAAATATCATAACATATTTATTTTTCAAATATTAAGATCCACAAATTCTCAAAAATCTATTAAATATTTGATAGTAAATTTGATTACAAGTACTTAAAAAATAATTAGATGAAAAATGTTTGCAATACTTAATACAAAAGATTAAAATCTTAAAACATGCAACCTAGTTAATCATTAACAGTTATGCTAAGTCTTTGCATATAATTTTGATTTGTTTGATTAAAACTAGTAACTAATTTGAATTTGTTATTTTTAATTGCTTTGTAAATAATGGAAAGCAAAATAAATAAGATAAAAATACCACCTAAGTCAGCCCAAACAGTTTAAAGTATATATATATCATTAGACTTGTACGTTTGTTAGCAGATCTTTCATATTTTAAATTATGTGTGAATTCAATTCTGTTACAAAGATTAAGAACCTCTTTAAACATAGAAAACATCAAAAGCATTTTACAGTAACGTGTATGTCACCTAAATTCTGCAATTAATTTTTTGCTATATTTCCTTTATCCATCTATCAATTCATTTTAAAAAATATGTTTTTATTGACTTTAGAGAGAGATAGGAAGGGAGAGGGAGAGACGGAGAAACATTGATGAGAGAGAAACATCAATCAGTTGCCTCAAGCAGGGGATTAAGCCTGCAACCCAGGCATATGCCCTGCCCAGAATTGAATTGGTGACCTCTTGGTGCATGGACACACTCAACCAAAAGGCCACCAATTGATTTTTAAAGAAAACCTATATTACTATTTTTTAAAGTTTTCTTTTGCTCAATTCCTTCATTCCCCTCCCCCCCATTATTTGTAAATAATGGAAAGCAAAAGAAATAAGATAAAAATACCACCCTCAAGCACCTCCCCTCAAGTACTTCCCCCCAATTATAGGCCAGTCTCCCTGATAAACATAGATGCTAAAATCCTCAAAAAAAAAAATAGCAAACCGGATCCAGCAATACATTAAAAAAAAAAATCATACACTGTGATCAACTGGGATTTATTCTGGGATTTCAAGTTGGTACAATATCTGCAAATCCAAAAAAGTGATGCAGCACATAAACAAAATGAAGGATGAAAACCACATGATCATATTAGTACATGCCGAAAGGGCATTTGATAAAATCCAGCACCCATTTATGATAAAAACTCTCCGCAAAGTGGGAATAGAGGGAACATACCTCAGTATAATGAAGGCCATGTATGACAAACCCACAGTCACTGTCATACTTAATGGGCAAAAACTCTAAGCTTGGGGACAAGACAGGGATGTCCGCTCTCAGCACTCTCATTCAACATAGTACTGAAGTCCTAGCCACAGCAATCAAGTAAGAAGAAGAAATAAAAGGCATTCACACTGGAAAGGAAGAAGTAAAACTGGCATTATTTGCAGATGATATGATACTGCATATAGAGAACCCTAAAGAAAACATTTTAAAACACGTTGCAGAATTAGAATACTTCTAAATACTTCAGCATGAGTATTATGAACTAGAATTCGATATTTACTTGTCTATGTATGGTTGGTTCTTTTTTTTGTTTTTATTTTGGTTAATCCTCACTTGATATTTTTCCATTGATCTTTTAGAGAGAGGGAAAGACAGAAACACATCGATCGGTTGCCTCTTGCCTGTAACCAAGGTACATGCCCTTGATTGGAATCAAACCTGGACCCTTTGCTCCACAGGCTGGCGCTCTAGCCACTGAGCGAAACCAGCTAGGGCTGTGTATGTATGTTTTTTTAAGGTAAGATTTATAAACTGTGAAATACACAAAACTCAAGTGTTGAGTGTTGATGGGTGACTACACCTGTGTAGCTTAAAACCCTCTCAAATTCAGAACATTATTATCACCCCAGATAGTTTTCTCTTGTCCCTTTCTAATCAGTTCTCTGGCACCATAGGCAACCCCTATTCTAATTTTTGAAAAGCACAAGTTTTGCCTGTTCTAGAACTTGAGTACTTGGGGTCATATAGCATGTACCCTTTGTTTCTATTTTCTTTCACCCATTTTAACATTTTTAATAATTCACTTGTGTCAGTAGTTCCTTCTTTTTTGTTGCTAGTGGTATCCATTGTATAAAATACCATTGTATCAAATACCATTATCTTTTGATGGACTTCTGGGCTATTTCTAGATTCTGGCTACTGTGTATAAAGGTTCTACGAATATTCTTGTATAAATTTGTTATGGACATAATGTTGGATTAGGGAAGGTATACAGTTAACTTTTTAAAAAACAGACTTTTCTCCAAAGTGATTGTACCATTTAAACTTCCATTTATAGTGTATTTTTAAAAAATAAAGTTTCGCACGTTCTCTGATCGGAATGTCAGAATTGAAATTGATGAATAACTTTTCTGATATTTAAAGGAAT